AAGGCCTGGCCTCTTAGTTATCCTCACAAAACAAAAAGCTGGACAATAGCCTAGCTGGGTTTTTGGTCCAGTGGACTCCGATACCGCTGAGAGACCGCGAAGGAAACAAAGAGTCGACAACGGAGGGTTCCTTTGTTGGTCCTGGGCTTAAATGGAACTTCAATTTGCATTTGTGAGACTAGAGTTACACTTTATGGTAAATGAAGACAAAGACTTGAGCTTGGCTTTTAGTTAAAAAAAAAAAGAACCATTGAGACGCCAGGCTGCTGGTTAGTGCCTAAGGTTCCATAAAGAAACAATAACACAAGCACAACTTGATCCAAGCATCCCAGCTGTTTACACTAAAAGACACACCCAGATGAACACACTCTGAGTCAGACATATAGCATAGCTTGTTGACAAACGGATGAGTCAAACCAGGGTGGAGTTTCTGTTTTCTTATCGAGTGTCAAAGAACAGGAAAGGCTCATCAGGAACTGGATTTAAAAAAAAAAAACGTGTGTATTTTTGCCCATTCGTAGGCTGTCGTTCCTGTTCTTAAATTTGGATTTATCATCAACGACAACACAAGCATCCTCACGTTTCAAAAAGGGCACAGATGTCATTCGGGGCGAGAACACACAAGAAAGAGGTGATAAGTGCTTACCTTCCAAAGTAGTTCACACTCCCTCTCCTCCAGCGCTTTCTTGTGTCTGAGGACGAGGGCTTTTACCTCAGTCTGCACCACCTTGGCCTTGATCTCCACTTGTTCCGCCATGGCCTGGATCTTCTCCATACTCAGCTAGGACCAGGGAAACAAATATATCAATATAGCAAGGCACGCAGGAGGAATAAGACACAGCAGTGACTACAACTGTATGTGGCAGAGGGGATAAAAAAAACATCATCCAAAACAGTGGGTTCTACTCATAACTTTTCTTACTGCGGACCGGTAGCACCGCGCCGATGTATGTGGCAGAGGGGATAAAAAAAACCATCATCCAAAACAGTGGGTTCAACTCATAACTTTTCTTACTGCGGAACGGTAGCACCGCGCCGATTGTTACATTTTTTCGGTATAATGACCTATTGTTAAATTTTTTCGGAATAATGACCTACGGGCTGGCACGCGAACCTGGGGTTGGGGACAACATTAAGCTCCACTTCCCCAAGGTCAGATCCATTCTGTGTATTATCAAAACGAGGAACGTGGAAGGAACAGGAGGAGCTAATGACGATATCCTACGATGGTTTAAAATAAAGTTTTCAATTGCCATTTAGCTCCGCAATAATCAATTCCTACATCGTTTTCATTCATTCAGTGTTCGTACATTGACTGTATTGATGGGCGGATGGCTACATGGATAGATAGTGTATAGGAGAGACAGCAATGAGTGATTCATTAACCCTTTAAATCTTGGTTTCCTTTTTCAAATTGATACAGCAACTATCCATGCAACAAATTTAGAAGTTAACATTTTTGTAAAGTCCATGTATCTATCTACTGATTGATTTCATTTTCAACCCAAATCAATTTGAATTAAAAAAATAACTGAGTCAATTATAACTGCCATTTGCTAAATTTCCAATTAAGTCAATTATTTTACAAATTAAGAAGCTCCCCTGTGACAGAAGGTTTTTTGTTTTTTTTTTATGTAGGCCACTGCCTATTTTGTCTTTGTCTTACTCTCAGCCCTCTCTGTGTTTTATCTGGCTTTTCCTCTGGCGTTTTCTGGGAGGTCACAGGGTGAACCAGACCTCACAGGGGCGAAAGGGAGGTGGGATAAGGCTCTCTTTGTGATATCAGCCCCGGAGATCAAAGGTCACCTAAACCTCTACAGGTCATGATCTGCGGCCCATGTCTTAAGACACATACTGCCCATCCCCACTGCAGCCCTAAAAAAGAACAAAGACTGGCAGCAGGGCTCTTTTCTCTTTTTTTCGCCGGCCCTTTTTTTTTTGGCTGGCAGTCAAAGGGTCAACAAAAATCAGGACCCCTGAGAGAGAGAACAGAAGGGAGGATATCCTCTGGGAATTTGGGCAAAAAAAAAAAGAAAAAAATCAGAATTATGAATTACATTTCAAATCAGTGTCTTTGCGGATTTTTGATGTTTGCAAATTTAATGTAGTTTTACACTTTTTTTATCCTCTTTTTTTTTCGTTTATTTTAAAGATTATGTGTATTCTGCCTCTCACTCTGTTCTTGCTCTAAAATCTAAAATTCTCTGTTTTTATCTTTTCTCAACATTCAGTTCTTTGGAGACTGTCCAATCAAAGCGGAGGGAGAAAGCTCTGGCCAACCAGGAGGTCACGAGTCCGGGGTCAAAAGTCAGCCAGGATAATGGCTGTACGGTGGACAAATACGTCCTGCCTCTCGGGACGCCGTGTGTGTTTACATATCATCTGGCGTCAGCACTTAACTATGGCGGCGACCTAAACGCCACAAGGTGTTTCCAGATTCAGGCCAGCAGTGTTTTCATCGTCATCTGAGTTTGTTACTTTCCTTTAATTCGTGGAAAAAAAAAAAGATTACGTTAAAGATAATTAATATGAACACTTTGAAGTTCTAAAATCCTTCTGTCATTTAGTCTCCGCTAAATCAAGTGTAGCTTCTTTTTTCGGAGTGCTAGCCCTACTTTATGGCAGTGATCATCAACTGGCGATTCGCGGGCCACATCCAGCCCAAAGAACTGTCCAATCTGGCCCGCGAATGGATTCCAAAAATCAAATTCTTAGTGGATACAAGTCATATCTGAAGTCTTACATACAACAAGCATAGACCATACTTCTAAAACTACCACTTGACAACAACAGGCGCTCTGTTGCAACATATATCTGTGCCTGCAGAAGTGTCTTGTCAATGTATATCCATTGGGGCACAACATGTGAAAGGAAATGGGTGAGGTACGGGGCTCGGCTGGAGAGAGAGAGAGAGAGAGAGCGCGCGCATGTCGGTAGGTCACATGACTGCAGTGGAACAACTAGTGTTTCATGTTTCAGTCAAGGTCGCGACACTGCCTTACCTTCCAAGGAAGGCGGGCCGTGTGCGCGACCTAGCCCTCTAAACATTCATCCCTTTGAAATCACAAGGCCGGTCAGCCGCAGCAGTTCTAACTGACTGTACTGGTATTACCGGGAGTCTCTAATTTGGTGAGTTATTAGCTACTTTTAAGTAGCTAAAAAAAAGATATTAGCTACTTTTAAGTAGCTAATAACATTCTGATCATTTTATTTGGACTTGTTATGTCACTGACTACCAAAATGTTGCGCATCTCCTCCGTTAAAGGAGCGACCGTGAGTAGGGTGGGACAGATGAAGGGATTGTAAATATGTGAATGACTCAGAGGAGGGCTGAGTGTTTCACATCCTTAAGAGGAGGGGAATTTTCCTTTCTCTGACATCCTTTAAATGCCTCATCTACCCTCCCCCATTCTCCTTTCCACTCCTCCTCCTCCCTTGTGACCTTCAGCCCTGCCCCCGCCAGACCTCACCCCTCTGCAACCAACACCCTTTAAGGACCAGCTGGACACCTCCTAACCCCAGGCCCGGTCACTGGTCACTCTCAAACATATTGAAGTTGATCATCTCTCTTTCCCCCCTCCCTGCCCTCCCTCCCCCCCAAAGATACGATGACTAGAAACAGCTGTTCTGCTCAGCCTCTCCTCCATCTTCGCTGCAGATGAACGTATGAATTGTTTGGTATGACCTTCGTTGGGATCGTCTCTGTGTCAGACTGCAGAGATTTAATGCCGCACAAATCGTTACGGCGAGCTAGAATTTGAATCATACGAGGTGATTCCACTGATGGGAAAACAGCTGATGTTCCGTAGAGTTAATGATTCATTACAGTATTTGCATTGTGTAATACAATCACAATTACTGTACCACCCACTCGTGGCTCATAACTTTGCGGTATATGTTCCTCCATGGACGTCTCTACGGGCGTTTCTGTCTCACCTGCACGGCCTGGCGTCCCTGTTGTGCATCTGCCAGCAGCTGGATGGTGACGGCCCTGCAGTCTTGTACAGCATCTTGTAGGTAAACAAAGGTGTGGCCCATGTGACGGCCCACGCTGCATTCCCTACAGATAGGCACCGAGCAGGTTTCGCAGAAGAACAGGAACACCTGGGGCAGAGCAAGTTTGGAGGTTATTACTTTTCCAAAAAAATGGAAAGGGGTTTCGCTGTCAAGAAAAACAAACAGTTGATTTACGAGTTACTATGCACAAACGCCGCACACTTTGGTATTTGGAATTGTGCTGATAAATAAGGTCAAAATCCTGCAAAAAGCTTAGAGTCTCAAACTCCTGGTTCGGGGGCCACTTCCAGTTCGCGACTCGACCACATTAGCCCTTGGATGCATTTTGATACTTTGTTTTTTTTATTTTGAAAAATGCTTTAGTTGGTCATTTTAGAATAAGGAAAATATTTTTTTTAAATTTTTTTAAATTTTTGATCAGTCTACAGATGCTAGCAAAAACAATTGTGACGATTATAAATCAAGACATTACGCTGTGATTATCACTTGCTCACACATGTGCATGCACACGTCAATGAGTCAATGACAAAATATTGTGAATAATAAACAGTTCATCCATATGCAACCAGGATGGACATTACAGGCCCCCCGACCCCAAAGGGAATTTAGGGAGAACTGAAGGCACCGACTATCAAAATATATCAATATTCAAATTTAAGTACGAACACTGAATTAAAACAAAACAATACCAGAGGATAAAGGGATATTTACCTTTAGCTAATATTTATATTTTTTATCTTCAGCCGGAACTGAACTGTTTCGGCTACTATTGACAAAAATAAATAAATTAATAAAATGCAGGGATGAATGGAGTAACATCTAAGTTAACCTATGCCAGTATAAACTAAGCTCAGCTTCAGAATTCTAGCATGAAGGCTGCCATGAGAGGCTAATTAAATATGCAATGGTCCTCATATCCCAAAGAGACACCGGCTCAATGTTTTCTAATAGCAAGGGACCTGGGTCTGCAGGGAGGAGCCTGCAATCAATCCATCAATAAGGGCTGTTCCCCTAGGGAGCTGCATAATCTAATGACCCCCCTCCTCCTTCACACACACACACCGCCACACACACTCACACCCCCCTTACCCCTTTATCTAATTTCCTTTTTCTTCAGTTTCTATTGGATTCCTTTTGTTTTTGCTCTTTTTTTTGTCATCTTCCTTCTGCTGAGCCCCTGATCTCCTTCTGCAGTCTCTGTGGTCTCCGTCACTCGCCGGGAGTGACGCCTCCTCTCACTCCTGCTGTCCTCCCATCCCACCCCCCGCTGACAT